GAGAGAGAGAGAGAGAGAGAGAAAGAGAGACAAAGCAAAGTAAAAAGCATCGTTATTTTCTTCTGTGAAAGTAAAACGCGGCACGTCACTCATTACGAAATGGCATCGATGCGATGCCTTTGTCCGACGGAAACCGAATTCCGGGAGAAAGAGAATTGCATTCAAGCGAGGAGTAAGTTTACATAATTTCGTGTCGATATCTCACGAAATGTTTCTACTGTAAGGATTAACAATTAACAATGAATATTTCCGCATTTACGATTGCCAGTTCATGTTGCGGAAGAATGTCTAATACACGAACGTCTAATACCTAAATATATGCTCCGCTCGGAAGTATCTATTAGAATTAGAATAGAATTAGATACTATTTAATTAGAATTAGATGGTGATTCAATGTAGCGTGAGAATATGTGGATAATGAATAATAGATAAAATTATAAACTAATAAATAAATTCTTTTGTATACGTCGTGTGATTAAGACAAATATTTATATAACAAAGTATCTCTTAATTTTAAATACAGCTGTCATATATTTAATTGCATTAATTTATCTTCCCAGCGTACGCAATGAAAAATGAGTATTCGGAAAAAAAAAAAATCATATTTACGTAGGAATTATTTTCAGAAACTTCAACTTACTTAGAAAGACGTGAAATTTGTTCAAGCGAAGACGTGACGAATATATAATCTTTTCCGTAACGATGTATTAGTACTAATACATAAACAGCTGATTATACGATTTTAATGCGAGCACAAAGTTAAGGTCGATGATAAACGTCTGTTTGATATGCACGTAAATTACTCTTGCAATTTACAGTTCTTTCTTATATATGGCAGAATGTTTAAGATTAGAAGTTACACAATCCTGTTTGTCGTAGTCTCTGGAGTATTATGCATTTATACTTCAACTTACGTAAGTGGAAATAATCTCGATACAGATAGTTGGAATAAAACATATTTAAATCAACTTAATGAGAAACAGGAAAATGCAATGAAGAAAATCACACGGAGGAATCTTGATTTCTGTATTTCCGCTTCTAAAAGTTACAAAATTATTTCGTTAACATGTAACACATATTTCTTTTATGTAATAAATATATGTAAAAGTATGTTTACATAACCATATCTGTGTTCGCTGTTAATTGCTCAAATATAATTTACGCTCATCAACAAGTGTTCAGTAAGGAAATGATTAAGATTTTTTTCTTCTCATTTCTCTTTTTGATGAAAGAGTTTCTGATATATCGGCAACATAAATAAATACAGATCTTTCCACGTATGTTGCAAAAATTATTTAAAACAATTTCTCAATGTTTTATAATTAGCAAATGTATCGAATTAGTCCCCAGAAAGAAAATCTGGAAATAATCTACACATTAAAATATGCAACTACAACATATAAAATATGTCCCTTTTGACATTGTTCTATAACATACCTAAAAGTTCATCGAACTTGGACAGATAATTGCGATCATATTTCCGCGTAAGATAAGCGAAGAAATCTCGCAATCAACGCAACTGCTCGACAACTTAAGTGCAGTTGATTTTTTTATATATTAAGAAATTTAATTGTTTAGATGAATATGTTTAACACACAATTATTATAAATTTGATTGATATACTTTTAAAAAATTAATTTTTCTTTTTCATATTTTTAATCTATAAATAAAATTTTGAGAACCTCTTTTTAAAATATTTGTTCGTATAAAAAATACAAAAGAATTTGTAGAATGCAGAGCGAATAAGCACTGGCCAATAACAATAGAATCTTTCTATTCGGAAAGGTCTGTTGATCTGTTCTTCAGTCGATTCCCTATTGATTAGTTGTAACCAGGCCAAAAGACTTTAAGCAATCTCCCATTCTTGCTATGTGAATAAATTTACAAAGAAATAGTGCTACAGCAAATATCTAAACAATTTACATTTGGTTTTATATGAGAGAGAGAGAGAGAGAGAGAGAGAGAGAGAGAGAGAGAGAGAGAGAGAGAGAGCGAGCAATACAATATACAAAAGCAAACAATATACGATAGAGATAATAATCGATTTGTAGAAATCTTTTTCAAATATTGCAATAATAGCGACGATATTTATCAACCTATTTTTATTTTCTTTGTACAAATTTGAAATTATAAATATGATTTTTAAGAAAAACGTATTTATTTCACATTTTTATTGTCTATGATATTGTTCATGATTTATTTAATTTGTTTTTAAAGAGTAATTCTTGTGACATTTTACGTTTAGTAACGACACGCTTGTGATGATTTTCTTAATGAAATTGTCACATTTTAAAAATACATTTAAACATATTTACTTACCCTCCATAACAAAGACAGTAGAGCCAACATCTCCTTCTTGTATAATTATCGAACCAGCTGGAAACGTAACAGGATACATACAATCGACAATTTCCCGAATCTGCGTGAGTTCCAAATTTTTCATGAAGTCGTTGTCCAGTATGGCAGTCTTGATCAGTTCGCGAGATCTGGAAAAAAAAAAGACAATCACTGTTAAGTTTTTTTCTCTTTCTTTTACACTAAAAGGAAATAATATTCCGATAAAGAAGAGAAGATAAATAATAATATTAAAAATATGAAATTAAATATCTGAAAAATCTATCAATAGAAATTTTTTAACAAATTTAAGAATTCTTATAAATTACGTAAAAATTTTATTAAATTATAATATAGTATTATCAAAATTAATCTTAAAATGTAAAATAGTACAGTTTGATGTGGAAGACTATACTATAATGCAATGTATGTTGAAATCAAGATAGAGTGAATTATTCATGAAAATGAATGAGTACCATTCAGTTATCACTTTCGATGAATCGTCTTATTTCACTTAGAATTATATAATTACACGATAAGTTATCAATTATCGCATATCATTATGTTCGAGTTGTAAGAATCTATTCTGAGAAAACAGCCATTTATAAAGGATGTCTTAGCTATACAATAGTAACAAAAAATTATTGAAAAAAAATATATTATTTACATTTATAACATTTAAAGCATCAAATAAATTTGGATTACGAAACGTTAAAATAATACGATTTGTAACATTTTTATTTAAAAAAAAAAAAAAAAAAAAAAAAACAACATTTCTTCCAATGAGTGACAAAATTTGCTTAACTTATATTTAACAGAAAAACATTTACTCAGTAAATGTTTTTCTGTTAAATATATCAACATACGGAAAGTAAAGTCAAGATCAGCTCTGTTGCCAATTGAATTAAACGCGACAGTGACAATGACGAAAAGGTCTGCGAACACATTTCTCGTTACGTCAGAGAAAATTGAAAACGGAAATTGGTTTGGAATGAAAAGTCATGCGGCATCCAGGGTACTCTCGCAGATCTACCTTTGCGGCTTGGTGAACTTCACCACCGGTTTCGTGTCGCCTCTGAGAGGTTCCGCCGATATGGCTTGCCGCTTCAGCCTCTGATTAGGGTCAATGGCACTAGACGCCAGGCTCAGATCGACGATCTGCCGGAATTTGTCGATCTCATTCTGGAGATATCGGATCGTGGCGTCGCGTTCCTCGAGCGCCTTTTCGAGTATTTCGACGATCTCGTCGCGACGTCGCAACGCCTCCGTACGCTCGTACAGCAATCGCTTCAGGTCTCGTATCGAATCCATTTCCTTTACTCTCACCGTGCAAAATTCGCGAACGCCGCGCTCTTCCTCTCCGTCAATGTCCGCGTGCGATCTCGTGAGTCACACACACCGCAGAAAAAATGTCACGCTGCGCTCTTTATCCTTCAACGAATATTTACAGGCGCGAGAACAAATATACGCGAGAATACGCGTGAAAGTTCAAATATATCTGTACATCCTGTTTTCGATCTACATCACTTGTCTCGACGATGACGGAATTGATATTCGTACGAGTACTCGACCTGGTTTCTACAACTTTGCAATTGTAAACTATATATGTAAACCTAACATTATTTTCAAGATTTTCATAAAATAATATAATCCTTGTTCTTCTTCAAAAAATTCTAGACTATTAAACAGAATTTGTTAACAATTAAAAGTAAAAAAAAAAGCTAAAAATATGTGATCCAAGTAGAAAACAAATCAGAAATTAGCCAGAAACTGGTTACTAGCCAGTATCTGGCCAGTTTAACTGTTGGTTAGATTCTGATCAGTTTGGGTGACGTCTGTTTGATTAATAACTGGATAGTAAATTTCGTCAGTTTTTAGTCAGTTGTTAATTATTATTTTTTGTCAGTTGTTAGTTATATTTATTGATCAAGTTAATCTAGTTAGTTTCTGACTAATTGTTAGGCAAAAAATACTAGTCAGAATATTCCGAGTTTTACTGACCAGAAACTGGCTAGCATTTATTGGCTAGTTTCTGGCTAGTTGCTGCCTAGTATTACCTAATAAAAATTTTCTGATTTTCGATTATTGGATAGTTACTGTCCAGTAAATTCAAAAGAATAAAAACTAGTTTCTAGTAATCAGTTTTTCTTATATATTTTTCTATTTGGGCAATTTCCACCATTTCGTTATATAATAATTAATAGTATTTTCATCTTTAGAATTAAAATAAATATCGAGTCATCATAGTTTTTAATCAAACTTGGGAGATGTTATCTAAGATTCTTAAAATAATGTAAATAATAATGCCACAAAAAAAATTTATCCTGAAACAATATATATATATATATATATTTTTTCAAGATTTATACAATTTTTTCAATACGTTAAATATTTATTAAAATTTAAGTGTTGCAGTATGTAAATAATTCAGATAAAGAGTCAAACATAAAATTAGGGTTCCTGTCGAACGTCGGGGACGCGATTCCAAAAGCTAGCAAGATATATTTATTTCGTCTGTAATAAGCCAAAGTTAGAAGCATCGATTATATAACACGTTAGACACGAGCAAGTCTTCTTGAAACAAACGTAACAAAAAGTATGTTGTATTAAGCTTTCTGGAGAGAATAATAATATCGACTTGAGAAACAGGTCCGTATTGTATAATTACATATTGCTATATTCAGAAGATTATGCGAATTGCGCTTGCACTCGAGGCACTTTACAACAAAGTTATGATTGCGAACAGAACGTGTCTGTAACTGAGAATATTAGCAGTCTGTAAAACTTCTATATCTTAGATAATCGCTCGATAATACGTTGTTAAGGATTTTCAGATGCTATATTTAACTGCGCGCAATTGAGACACGAGGGAAATATTATCATCTTTAGCATTTTCCGCATGAGCATTTTTTTTTCAGTATTTATACGTACTGCTCATACATTCTTCTATAATTGAAGAAAAAAAAATAAAGACTACTTTTGTATGCATAAAAGTACTACATAAATATATAAAAATATATTTATCATTAAATGTGTAAGATAAAAAAATACAAAAGAAGTAGAATAATTAAACCGGGCATAAGTTGAATTATAAATAAATAAAAATACTGAAAATTAATTAATAATTAAATATATCATATGTTTACATGTTATATCAATCAATCAAATTCGATAATTAAGCGTCAAAATTTCAAATATAAAGAATCGTCATTAAAATTAATTACGATAAATAAAGTAAGTAACGAGATAATAAATAAAGCAGATATTCATCCTTCATCCGATCCGCTTCATTAAAGCAATCTATATTAGGATTGACGTCCAAAAAACGATGAGTAGTAATTTAACTCGTGTGTCATTATTTTTCTTTGTCGTTAAATTATTATTGAAACGCGAGCAAAGCTGAACTGTCAAAACTCATCGGTATTTCGAAAATGAAATACACGTGAACGTATATTCTCGGTTTATTAAACGCATCAACAAAGAATCTTCGCCGATTCTTCCAGACCTTTATTAAGCATTGCTCAATTTCGAGCAGACTACCAGTAGCTCGTTCAATCTGTCTTAATCAAGCCGTCGATCTACAGACACTCGCGCGACACTCAAAGACCGATAAGTAACTCACTCGCGTGTCTCACGAACGAGCTATTACATCCACCGAAGCGAAAAAATGAATCATTAAAAATCATACAGTGTATAATATTAAGTTGATAAAAAAAGTTTTGTGCGTAGGCAAAGGATCCATTACGCACTAGAGTCCATATTGACACTCGGAGGACTTTTTAAACGTCTAATTAAATATTTAATTTTCACGTTAACACACGTTAAATCCTTCGATCGATATCTCATGGAGCGAGAACATGTCCATTATATATATCGCAAAAGTGAAGAAAGTTGTTGAGAAAAAGATAAGGTTGCACTTGGATCAACGACACGACTTCCTTGAACAAAAAAAAATCATCTTCTTTCGCGGGATGCATAAACGCGTTAATTGAAACCTTAGTCAACTTCGACCGTTGCTTATGAGAGTAATTTATAAAAAAAATCGCGATATTCTAACGGTACACCATTGACCTCTGTTAGCTAATTCAGACGCTTCGGCGTCAAGCAAGAAATACATATAGCTAGTATGTAATTTCACCGAGTTGAATTTTCCATTACATAAGTACACGAAAAAAACGAGGGAGGGAAGGGGACAGGATCTTACGCCGAATATCGGATTTCCCTTTGCCGCGGAGAATAAGCGGAACGATCATTTTCGCGTGTCTACGACGTAGTCGAAATTCGACCTCACCGAAATTAATACCGAACTCAATCTAGCCGACATTAGGTGCCGCGGACTTGAAACTTGCGAGGAATTAACGGAGGACTTATGCGGACGCGGTCGCGGTCGCGCATAAATATATCTCCCGGAGGAACGGCGGAACCTGTCGTTTCCCGAACTGACACTCGATCGAACTGATGATGACGATGTGGAAGAGGAACCACGAAGAGCACGCGTAGCGATATATACACACGTAACGATCAAGGAAGAGCCGCTCCGGGCCGTTCGCGTGTAGAATCACGAGGCGTCAACGACTAACGATCGCATAGTACGCGCACCAGCTATTTTTACGTTTTAATCGCGTCTTGCGACTTCCTCCAAACGCGCGTCCTCCCGCCGCCGTCGTATTCGCGAGGTCGCCTCGGTAGCCAATTAAAAAAAAAAAAGAAAAATATGGTCACTCCTTTCACCGATCATTTTGGCCCTCTGATTCGGCCGCCCCTGGCCGATTACCGCTACATGTACGTGCCGATCTATTCTCATCAGTGTGAACAATGAGGTGCAGGGGTGTCCTAATCTGGAGATTTAGACTTCGAAAAAGGACGAATGAACTTCATTCATATTACTTATACAAGCAGTTTAAAAATTAATTTTTACTTTATCTAGAAATCTGTAAATCTTGAAAATTTTGCGATTTCCGTAAATTTTCCGTAAATTTTGTGTGACTTGAGTTAGTTCTATTATTTGTAATATACAATGCTAATTGAATTGATAATAATGTTTGTCCAATTATACTGTGTTCCGAACAACTAATTCAATATGGAACACTAAATAAAAATAAAGTACACAGGATGAGGATTTGGTTTCTCTAGAAAAATAGAAATAGAAATT